TCGATATTAGAATACAAATGATATAGTTCAGGTCAGGAGTTGGCAGCCCGTGTCCCGCGAGTCGCGTGCGGCTTGTCGATGTGTTTCTGTTGACGGCGTGCATCCGTGACGGAGCTGTCGTATTTTGGTTTGCATTTTTTATTTACTCATACAAAATCAGTTTTTATTTGTTTATTCCTTGTTTATTTAATGACTGCCTCAGTAGTTGAAGTCTTCATATGTTTAGTTCGTGACAATATTCCGGGCTTTTACATCTTGTGGGCTTTCTAACAGATATAAACGTTTCGGAGGAACATACTGCTTCCATCTTCATGGCCGTGAACCAAAAATCTAATATATTGTTTATTTTACGACACTGTCAGTAACTTGGCCACATACCGTCGCGTCTCTGACTAGGATAATGAATGATTAATAAATTGGAAAGTTAGTGTGTGGGGCTTAGGATAACAGAACATTCAAGGGAGGACAAAAATAATGTTTGAAGCCATGTATCTGCAATAAATTAACGCGAAGGCCAGTGAGGAATGCAGAATTACGAACAACGCCTTTGTTTATACAGGGTGTCCCGGTTAACGTTGAACTAGCCACGGTAGCATGTCTTAGCAGCAGCGAACCATCTGCCGTGAAATGAGCTAATTACGACGTAGAACATAGCCGTCGCATGTGATAAGGTGTGTTCCGAGTTACGTTGGACATTCTGTATAAGCACGCAGAGGAATGTCCGTCGGGATCCTCGATGTGTGCACCCAGCAGCTGATATTTTGGAAGACCGGAAAAAAACCATTTTCAAATTATTTTGATTGATGGGCGTGGCTGCAGCAGCTGAAAGCCGGTGAAGTTTTGAGCAAGCGTAAAAGTTTAACGTGTAAATGTAATGATGGAGTTCCGTTCCTGAGAAATCGGCGTCGGTAGAAGAGCAGAGAGACGCTGATTTGCCCCTCGCCCCCACCAGTGGGCAGTACCGATCACAACCCTTTCGCAAATTCGCGAGCTCAGGAACGATTGACTTAGTTTGAGTGTAAAACTGTTTGTAGGAACTTTGGATTTTATCTGAAATGTGGTCTGTTTGTGCAGTGCAATTCGTGGAATTGAAACTCAGATTTAGGATGCTAATAACTGAACGAGCAGAGACCTTAAACTGTTCGTAATAGCCCAGGATGTCAAGACATTCTTGCGTATTTTATGGAATTCAAGGCTTACTGATCTTGAAGATGACTGTCTTTTGGGTTTTAGCGCAGTGTAATCTGGTAGTTCACCGACGTTTCAGATGTACTGCTGCATCCACGATCGCCAGGCAGCAAGAACCTCTGAAACGTCGGTGAACTTCTACCGGATTACACTACGTTACAACCCTGAAAACAGCCATTGTTTTACTCACCGTGAGAAACGTAGCAGAGGCTTTATTTTATCTGACTGAAATAAATTGGTATTCATGCATGCTTTGATGAGCAGTATAAATATTTTTCGAGATAGGCCTGAAAGTTCTTTTATTTTTCGTGGTAGGTACAGAAGGCGCGCTTTTTCACGACTGTCTTATCGTACCTATGAGCGGATGTACGTACGCAGGTGCGTAACGTGTGTTGGACAGAAATCATCCGACCTCCGGGTACGTGTAAGTTTGTATTAAGTTAATTTCACAGGCTTTTCCTGTACATCAGCTGGAGCGTGCAATGTGTGGGAACGAGACCGAGAGACATTTCTTTTATGAATTTTCACAAACATCTATTCAATGACGTAGACTAATGTAGGTTAGATGGGCGGAAGGGGTCGGCACTGAAACACCCCCACATTGCTGCCTTCTTCAGGTATTAATAATCGTAATTTTCCTCGAGCAGGAAAAACCTGGAATATTTTTGCTGGTTTTGTACAAATGTAATGTGAGTTATAGAAAATTTTTTATTCAACGCCGTGTTTCAGACAACTCAACTTAGCACAGTTATTCAACGCCGTGTTTCAGACAACTCACCGTAGCGAAGTGTCACAGAACAAGCTGATAGCTGCTCAGCGTAGCAAAAGTATTTCTCTTTCCTTTTCGTCGTAAATGCAAATGGTTACTTTCTTCTGTCTCTGTTCAAAGTATATATTTCATCACCCTGTTCGTTCATTCTCTTGTCGATTTACCTTGTCCTGTGAAGACGACGATGGTTACCACAGTTTTCGAAAAATACACAGCCTCCATCTTCAGGTCTAAAAATGGCATTACCAGCGAGTCCACACGGCGACACAATTCAGAAAATCGTTATCGTCACTGTCATAAGATCTTAGACATGAAGATGGAGACAGTATGTTCCTCCGAAACGTTATCTGCCTGCGAGTCCACACGGCTTTCCAACCCACAACAAGACCACCATTGCCACGTACAAGCATATCATTTGTACTTAAGTATGTATCAGAATAATCTTTTCCAGATAACAGCCTAAAAGCCTGGGTATTTAAGCTGTATTTGAAAGATCACTTATTAAATGACTATATGTCGGAGTTCAATGTGCGCGTTTGAGTCTTGTATCTAGTACAAGTATATATTTGTTTTAGAAATGTGATAAATTCGTTCAAAGTCCGTTATTTTGGATTCAATATTCCACTGTGGCTTCTCAAACCATTTACTATAAGACAGGTAATTGCCAATAACGTAAAGTGCATGAACCACGTCTCTCATAATTTAAAGTCGGATGTGTGCATCACCCCGAAACACCATTACGTACGTAATCCTTGTTTGTAAGGCACTGCATTGATTTAATGACAGTAACTGGGTTACACACACCGGTTTATGAAGGTCGGACCCTTTGGATGTGGTGTGTATCACATGGCTTGACCA